AAAATTTTCATAAAATAGTCACACTTGTTAACCACATACTTTATTTTTCTGGAACTGAGGTCACATTTTTCAACCAAACTGAACCAATCTAAAATTGTTCACGGTGACTACACAAGGTGCTTGAGTTTAAGCAAAAAGATGTACTAAACCAAAATAAAATTTTGGTAATTTTCAAAAATACCATATTTTGTAGTTTACTTCCAAAAATACTATCATTTTTCAAAACTTCCAAAAATACCAATATTCGTCAAATGTTCCAAAATAGCATAGCATAAAACTAAAATTAGTTTTCAACATTTAAAATTGAACTTTAAACCCTAAAACCAAACCCTATCCCCTAAAATTATACCATAATTGTATAATCCTTTCGTTTTAAAAAATAAGATGTTTTGGAAGTTTTACTGTTTTAAAATATAAGTGGTTTTGACAATCTCATGTACTTTTTAACTTTGTTGAATATTCTGCGACCACTAATATTTTATATTTTTTTTTATGATTGATTAAATTATCCTTATTATGTGACAAAAAAGAAAGATTAAATTATCCTTATTATATATATATATATTAAATCATACTTTTTAGAAGAAAAATAGTGTTTTAAATTCCCCATTTTTAGCCAAAATATCTTACATTTTGAAACGGAGTAATACTTAATCCAAAACCATAACTTTAAACTACGAACCTTTGAAAAACAATTTTTAGCTTCGAATGGTGACAGCGTTTTGAGCGGTGCGGTACAAGCGGTTTTAGAGGTGCGATGCGGTTCAAGTGCGGTACGGAAAGGAAAAAAGCATAATGCGGTTAGTGCGGAACAAGTGGTGCGGGACAATGTTTGAATGGTTAAAAAACAATATGCGATGCGGGATAAATTAATTATCAAATTTCAACTAATTTTTTTAAATATTTTAAATATCAGAAATTTTTTTTTTACAGAAATATGTTAATCCATTAAATAAGTATGCCTAATTTTTTAACAAAAAAAAAATTGAATAAAAATCATTAAAAATGAGAAACAGCAGCTAAACACACCTTATTGGGTGTAGTTATCCCGCACTATGAAATCTGTTAGGTTACTTCATAATTTTGTAACGCAC